AATATCGGAACAAATCACTTTAGGATGGCTGAGCAGTACTTATCTAAATATTTCAGGCTAATCGGAGAATTCTGAAGAAGCTACCAACAAACACGGAAGGGGCAGCTATTCTGACCGGCTACGTGTCCTGTCTGGATCGACCTGTTTCGGCTTTCGTACGATTGAAAGTGGCACAGGTAGAGCGTTTCGTAATTATTCAAAAGAAACAGATGATATGCCGACTTTTCTGATTTTGATTTAGAAACTGACATCAAAAAGTGACCATAGGTATAGGTACTTATTACTTATTCTCACTTATTTATTACTTATCTACTTCTAATTAGCAGAGCGCGAATGATCAAAGTGCCCGCACTAGCGCTGGAAATGAATGGCATATTCGTAATCACAGGGTGCCAAAAAACCCTAGTACAAGTTTATATAATTTTTGGCGGAAAGGATGTAGCACCAAGTGGCGTCAAAGTCAAGAATCAATATCATATTTGTGAGCCCTCGATTACCCAACTACAGGTTTGCAGAGAATTTGGGGAGAAAAGTGGTGGCACCAAATGACGCTATCGCCCGAAATGGATGTCTGATTTATGATCAGGGCACAGAGTAGGAAAACTTTCACCTGCAAAATTTTTCTGCGTCCTTGGAGTCGTAATAAGGGAATAGTGTAGCCTCCGCTTCTCGTTCTTAGAAGGTTACTGAGTTTGATTTTAAGATTACTCAGATTGCAGAAATCTGGTCAGGCATTGAGAACTGAGGAGACAGACCCTCGCAGCACAGCTCAAAACCTTAGCACACTGATTTATTTATTAATTTTATTTATTTATGCACGCACAGGTGCGCTTCTACAACACTTAAGTTATGCTAAATCGAATAAAAAATGCGATCTTACCTAAGGCTAAACCGAGGGAACAGGCAATCGTTAAGATAGGTAGGAACTCCAGCCGGAATTCTGCTCGAGGAATAACAGAAATCGACCGAAGAGCTAGCTTTTAAGCACCTGTATGTAGGGGTCCTCTGCCTTGGGTAACCAAGTAACCAACCATTAACTCGATGATAATAAGTTCAGTGGCAGATGGCGCTAGGAAAACGTCACTCCCTGGCGGGAACGTTCATGTATGGAATTGGAAACTGATTTTCGGATGTTATAGGTATTCCCTATCCCTAATAGTTTTCGGTTCCAGACCGCCAACACTATCTTCACAAGCTAGCTTCTATGACTGACCTTTGCGATCCTAGGTGGAGGTACTCAGCGGTAAAAGGTAAAGGTAAAGCATTGTAATGGTTTAGCCCGCTCTTACAACTGAACCTGCCGTGTTTTCTGTGCTACCAGTCTCGTTCCAGATCCAGTTTCGTAGTTCCAGTTTTGTCCATAACTTGATGGTCTCGTGACAGACATCCAATAGAGTAATGTAATAGCAGTTGTAATAAAACAAGAACTCAAAGTTGCTCTGATCAAACTGAGATTTTTCACAGAAGCTCTATCCAATTCTCCCGGATTTGCCAGTGCCAGTTCGATTCATCTTCATTCTGCTCAGTCCCTCGGAAAACTATCACAGTGAGCGGGATTCCATTGCACGGACCATAGGAGCCTTTTTATCTGATGAGGTATGTTCGCTTCTACAACCTTCCGCAATAGTGTATCTAGAAGAAGTGATAGTTCACCAATTCAAGGAGGTATATACTATTTTGACCAGAGCCTCGTCCACTGCAGTTACGTCTGCATTCAATCCCCCTACCCATTTCCTATCGTTACCCACTTTTCCCGCTCTCTTGGCTCATTTGGGACTGAACTACGAAATTCTGATTCAAGCCACGTCCACAGCAGATGTGCCTCCCTCAACCGTCCACCCATTCATTCCCTATCGTTTCCATTTTCCGCTCTCGGGGCTCTTTTGGAATCTAATTACGAATTTCTAAAAGATTCATAGCACTACCGCCCACCTATAGCACGCCCCGCCCATAATGGATTTCCCTCATTTCGTCCGCCAACTGATTGCCTATCGTTTGCCACATTTTCCGCTCTCCGGGCTCTTCTGGAACCGAATTATGAATTTTTGAAATATGTAGCTCACAACTGTGCGCACGCCCCGCCCACAGTGGGCGGGGCTTAGCTTAGTTCATGTGTGTTTCGTACATCTTGGTCCACGCCCTACCCATCCCACCCTTGACCCGCCCCTCAAACCGGCTCTTCAGGTGATGCCGAATTTCCGGACAGACAGACAGACAGACAGACAGACAGACAGACAGACAGACAGACAGACAGACAGACAGACAGACAGACAGACGTCGCCGTTTATAGGAAGTAGGATCTTCGCAAACGATAGGGCGTGTGACGAGGCGTGGACGGAAGCGTCACCAAAGCGGGCTCTGCCACCAATGATGTCATCCTGAATCCGCAACAATTGGCTAGCAAAGCTGATCTGGCTGTGCTCCAACTCATGCCCCTTAATACGCCCTATCGCTTGCTAGAACCATGACTACACATTAAATGATTCTATTTGAAGATATTCCGCAAAGTGGCTCTCCACACCCTGGAACAGCACACGCTGGCAGATGCCGCAGACGAGTTCATCTCCCAGATCTCGGCTGTTCCACCAGGAAAATGTTCTGCAGACGCACGTTGGGAGCCAAAGGAAACTGAGAGTAAGGTGAGGACTAGGATATATTACTAACGGTCCTTCTGGCCAGTAACCTATAGCGTAATTTACTATGTAAGTACAGTAACATTTGTTATGTTTTGGTTTGTGAACAGCTATTTTTCACTACAAGTACGACACGTGATAGCAAGGATGTTAAACTGTAAGTTG